AGAGAGAGAGAGAGAGAGAGAGAGAGAGAGAGAGATTTTATACTCAAATGATGCAGCTAGACTAGGACAGTGTGATGTATGTCAGCTTCTAGTTGTCCAACTGTCTTCTATGAGAAAGACCCTTGCAGCACCTTGGTCTCTTATATACTCCTTCTATAGGACTGGGTTTAGCTGAAAGAAAAGCTAATGGGGTGGGAAAGGAAGATACAGGGAAAGTCAAGTGAGAAGAAAAGAAGAAACCATAACAATCAGCTTCCTACATTCAGTGCAGTCTTTTTTTCTTGGCTGGCTTTAGGCCTTTTCAAATAAACAGAAATACTGAAACGTATTTCTGATTTTCACACCAACTTTTCCATCCTGGGGAGGAATCTTAAATCTTCCTCTTGAGATTTGACATTCCGGGAGACCTCCTCTTACCGTGGAAGTAATCAGGCTAATGAATGAGAGATAGCAACATAGTTCTGGTTTTGTATTGCTTATGATTATTCTGTTTATGACCAACCCTAGTCATCTGTTGCCTTGTGATGAATTGGGGTTAAAAATCTGGCTGGAGACAATACATAAGAGAGTCATCTCATTTGGGGGGAGATTTAAGCAGGAAATATGACCACTGAAGTTGCTTAGTTGCCTTCGATCTCCTTCTTAACAGGGTCCTAAAGGTTCTCTAGGTCGACCAGGCCCTGCTGGTCCCATCGGGCTACCTGGATTTCCGGTAATTTTTCCTCTTTTTGTTATTAATTATATTCTGAACAATCTCCCATCACAGCTAGTTCAGAATATATGAAATAGCTACTGATTGTTATGTTTGTTGTCTGACAGGTGACAGCTGCTTTATTAGTTCATCATTATTTCATTGTTAGTCCTTCAAGCTAGTCAAGACAAGAAGCATAACTATGAGTACTAACTCTATCTTTATTGTAAGGTTACATTAACAGAATCTTACAAGACTGAAAGTCTTTCTCCGCTCCCTCCTTTTACTCTCCGGAAAACTAGGGAGGGTCCCTTCTGAAACGCTCCCATGCCCTCCCTCCTTCTGTGGGCTGAGAAACCTATTACATACCGGTTGTCCAGTCTGTGGCTCTTCCTCCTCTCTCCCAAGGTCTTTCCCATAGACCGTTACATCATCATGGTGATGCACAGGGGTCATTAATGAGGGACTGGTCAGGGACTGAAAACCAGGAGCTTCCTGCCTGCCCAGCTCCTTTTGAGCCAAAGGAGAAATAGTTTCCCTCTGTAAAGACATCTCAGAATCTGCTGCCATTGGAACATGCGACCAGTTTGCATAATACCTGCTCAGTCTCTTAAAATAGACAAACCTATCCTGTAATCTGGATTATTCCCTTGTTTGGCTCAGGAGGGAAGCAGAATGACAAGATGGGAAAGGATATGACTCCACCCCCTTTGGTTTCCGATCTAGTTGGATGAGGGTGGTTCTGCCCCCTTTTCACTTTTTTGCTTAAATATTAAATATTAGGGTATCAACTCAAGATAAGATGCAGAGTGGAGATTCTCATCACATGTAAAGGAGCAGTTGTCAACTGCTCTCATTTATTAGTGAGTAATTTATTTCTCTCTTGCTTCCTAAATAATATTGCCCTGGGAACTACTTTGGTTGGTTAACCCTTTCATTTTTTTAGAACAGCTCCCTCTTCTTATTTATATGTCCCACCCATAAATTTATTTATTTATTTATTGTACTTATATAGCCACCCATCTCACGCAAATTGAAATTGGATTCTCAAGTGCAACCTCTGATCAATATTGTTTTCTTCCAATTTAGGGACAACCCGGTCTCCCAGGACCCCCAGGTCCTGTAGTAAGTATGTTTGATTGTTTCCCTGTATTCCACCTTTCCAAAATGTCTATCCATTAAATAAACAGTACAGGCAGTCCCCAGTTTAAGGAGTTCCATTCCCAAGGTCTGTCTGTAAGTCGAATTTGTATGTAAGCCAGAACAGTATTGTTGTGTAATGAACTCGAACCATTGCATATTTAACTCGAATCATTGTGTATTCAACTCAAATTTTGCTGTTAAGACTCGGTTCTTAACTATGGGTCATCTGTAACCTGGGCATTCTTAACCTGGGGACTTCCTATACTGTTTTCTTCCTGATATCCCTTAGGAAAACTGTTCTGCGTTAAAGATGAACAGAAAGTGCAGTCAGAAAATTTTCTTATTGTTTTGTTTTGCTTGGCTTGCGGGGGGATAGTTTTGGAATAGCTTGCTCCTGGTGTTTTTTTTAAATGATTCTCCATATTGGATTGGACATAGAAGCTTCAATTATGATGATTATGAATTATACACAATCCACCAGAGAGCTCTAAATGGATTCGGTACTTTTGACTATCGGATCCTCCCCAAGATCAACAATTACAAAAGATATCTTTGTAATATATGGGTTATTCCAAGTAATGAAACTTTTTGTAACTGATGAGTTGAGATGTCATCCATTCCTATTGTGTCCAAGTACTTTTCAAGACCTTTTGGTATGACATCAAGCACAGCAAGTATTGTGGTGGTGATAATTATTTAAATTTAGAGGCTGTCCAGCTCCAGAATGACTCTGGGTGGCTTAGAGTTAAAACCCAATAATGAGAAAAACTAAAGCATTATATTGTTCTACAGCTTGTAAAACATATGACTGCAGAATTAAACCTAGGATGCTGAAATTAGTGTGAGAAAAGTGAAGCATTTTTTAATACTTTGGACACAAACAATTAGCTTTAATTCTTCGTCAACTCAGGTTGGATTACCAGAACTAATACTAAACCACTATTATTATTTTTTCCAAATGATGAATGTCGGTGATCACTTTTGGAAGACAGAGATCAGGAAACAACTTTAATTCCATTGATTGTTTCTTTTTACTGTTCTTTGGGTGATTTGTGCCTCTATTTTTCAATTGTACCGTTTTTAAAAATAAAAAATTACAATGATTTGGTGTTTGATGTTGTTATTTTGCAGGGCAGTAGTGGTCTAGTTTTCCAGGGAGAAAAAGGAGAAAAAGTAAGTAGTTGTGTGCATTTTGGCTTTGCAATGGGACACCATACCAAACATCTTCTTGGGTCACTATGAGGACAGCATCACTGTTTCTTCCACATGGTGGCCATTTGTGTGTGTTGTTGCCGTAAAACAATGTGTGTTGTTGACACACATTGCATGTCAAGAACAAGATTGGGCAATGGAGAAGAGGCTAATTTTTTCCCTCTGTCTCTGGTTGCCTGGGAGCAACACCGGACAATTTTGAACCTGGAAGAGTTCACCCTGCCTTAGAAGTATTCATAAGCAGCGTATTTGTGGCACTGACTACCAAAGTGTTCTCAACCTCATGTGGGGTCTGTGCACCAGCCTCTCACCTCTCATCCATTACAGTCCTGAATTTTCACCTAACGTTCACTTTGGTCAAGTTATATATATTGCCTTCTGCTCTCCTGATGGGGTGCTACAAAACTGCTTTCCTCCATCCCCATATATCTCCTTGTGGAATCTTAGTGCCAAATGTTCTCTACAGAGAATTCTGGACAATTTTTATTTTATCCTACCCTTAAGACATTTCCTGGCACAGATGACTTAGTTCTCCCTTCTTCCATCTGGTTGCTATTTGGATAGTCCTTCCAGGTTGCCTGGTCCTTCATTTCCATATCTACTATCCATCTTTCCTCAGGTCTGGAATATCAATACATGTTATTCAGAAGTTATGCATCTCCAGCTTTACTTGTTTTATTTCCTTCTATCTTATGGCCATTATGAAGATTTGGTTTGATCTGATTTGAGCCTAGAAAGATGACAACAATAAGAGGCACTTCTGATGCCTTGCAGAGGAAACTGAGGGAGACATGGAAGTGCCCTGAGTTCTTCCAAGAAAACTTTTTTCTATTTCTGGAACATGATTGGGTTTTATTGGGCATAAATTGAATGCTTTCTGTGGTGGAGGTCCCTAAAATGTATTTATTAATTGAATGCATATACCACCATAATCATAGATAGACGCTCAGCTCACAAAGTGAAGCAGAACAGCAACATAGTAATACATAATAAAAAAAGAAATGCAAAACTTACAACCCCCAAAATTGGCATCAGCTTCCAAATGCCCTCCAGAAAAGCTCCGTTTTCAACTATTTTGGAAGGTAGCTAACATTAGAGCCATCAAACGTCTTGTGGGAGACCATTCTAGAGAACCAGCCCAAGTATAAACAATGCTTCCAGGCTTCGGCCCCTTGACCTCCTGAAAATGGGGGACAACCAGCATGACCCAAGGGGTTGGGTTGACTCCAGAAGAAAGATGGGGTTCTGCAGGTAACCAGGAATCAAACCATAAAGTGCTTTATAGATGAAAATCATCACTTCAAATTGTACCTGGAAACTAATTAGAGGCCAATGCAGGGCCTGAAAAATAGGTGGGACATGCACCCACCGTGCCCTTGGAAGAGCTGGGCCACTGCATTTTGCACCACTGGAAGCTTCCAGATGGTCTTTAAAGACGATCTCATGTAGAGCGCATTGCAGTAGTTTAGAGCAATGTTTCTCAAGATGTGTGGACTTCAACTCCCAGAATTCCCCAGCGAGCACATCTTAAAGTTGCTGAGATAGAGAAACACTGGTCTAGAGGAGTGGTGATGAGGGCATAAGCCACCTAATCGCTGTTTAAAATGTTTTTTCTTGTATCTAATATATAATTTTTTTCCAATTAGGGAGATGTGGGACTTCCAGGACCAGCAGGACCTCCATCTTCCACAGGGACAGAGGAATTTGTCGGATTGTCCAAAGGACAGCGAGGAGCAAAGGTTTACTCTTAACAACTAATTAACTCTGTATGAAACATTTTTAAAAAATGATGCTGACAAGTCAGGCTTGACTTCTCACAATTTCATCAACAAATCAAGTTTTCTGGCAATATTATAGAAAAGGTTTGACATAACTTTCTTCTGGCACTTTTTTTCAATTTCCCGATCTAAACTAGAGCCCCAGGGCTCCCTGGGAGTCTCCCATCAAAATATTCTCCAGGTCTTAGCCTGCTTAGCTATTTTGAGATCAGACAAGGCCAGCTAAGTCTTTTCACCTGCTGGGACCTAAAATCTCCTTTGAATCAGATTCTATTCTTGATGACTTGATGGACGTATCCATATTATTTTCTTAGAATTGATTGATTTATTACATTATATCCTAAGGCCTTCCTGTTGAACTGTCAGGAAGTGTGAAGTTGTAAGCCATTGACTTCTTCTAGAAAGTTTTTGCAAATTCCCAACCTAGTCTATAGTCCTGAGATTTCCTAGAGATCTCCTGTTCAAGTGGTAACCAGGCCCAACCCTGCTTAGCAGTTTGAGATCAGCCAAGTATTTAGTCAGCTACCTCCACCTACTTATTTTGGAATGAGGGTGCCAGAGAGCAAAGGGGAAGAATGCTAGAGAATGCCAAGCCCACAACAGATTGGTGGTCTATATCTTGGCCATGCAAGGGTTCTCTTTGAGTTAGGCAGACAGCACACCACGCCAAGCCAGAAGTCTCCAAGCTGCTTAGAATACTAAACAAGATATTTCATTACATCAGTCCGCTTCTCTCTTTTTTCCCATATCAGTGAAATACCAGTGATAGCTAGGTTTCTCAGCTATCTTACCAACCTCATAAAATAATGTAGCAAAAAAGCCACGTTTAATGTAAGTGGTGTATTTTCTCCTTGGTTTGGTTGGTAGCCGAACCACAGTTGCCTTCTATATCAAAGAATTTCTGAATCAAGTGCATAATGAAAAGCAGACATAAAACACTGCACGCAAAAACAGGCAGAGCTTTGATTGCACCATCGTGGCCACCATCTTGATGTTTTTGACCATACCCTGTGGACACCCCTTTTCTGGGGGGGGCCTTCAAGTCAGTCTTGACTACTAGTTCTAATTAACTAGTAATTAAGGTCACAGAGCTGAGCTTGTTAACTTGTGGTTAGCACTTTTTAGGGACAGAAAAGCAGCTTAGGAAGAGAGAGCTTGTTTAGGCGATCTCTCCGCTCTGTGAGGAGAGACAAACATGGGTCAAGGCACAGCACGATGCCTACTGACTAATTGTAATGGTGAACATGTGACTGAGAGAGAGATGCTGTGAAGGACGTAAATGCAGGCATTGGTTGCAAATTTCCTTTTTCATCACCATCATAACTGCAAACAGTCGCAATCCGAGGCAGTCGCTAAACAGGACTGCCTGTATAGGATTGATAGGGTACATATTTTGATGAGAACCCGCACAATCAGGATTAATAAACCAACTGGGTTGCATTTTTTTTCCAGTTTCCTCACTTTTCTAAATTTTATGATGTGACTCTGTGAACTACACCCTAGGATACAGTAAGATGAACATCCAGGGAAACATATGCAAAAATACATATTTTAGAAGAAAGCGTAAACACACACTGTACATTTGGAGAAACATATTACAGGAAAGGCCCATGAACTTTCATGCTGGCTTTTAAGCCCAGTATTTGCAAACTGGTACAGAAACAGGTTAGCATGTGTGCTTTAGAAAGTATGAAAGTTGAAGCTATCAAATGAGGCAGATTTATTCATGGCTGAGCACAGGGCCACACCAATTAATTTATTATGATATAAGCTTTGGCAGACTGGACTATTTTGCTTTTTGAAGCAGGCTCTAATCTAGGAAAACATTCATATGCCTCAATACATTTCTTCATTCAGTAATGGATAAATTGATGTGTAGGTGTGGTGTGGAATGTCTGTTCTTGGAGGATTTAAAATATTTTGGGCTTAGATGAAATTACTTTTGACCTCTTTGTAACTTTGATACTTTAGTGACTTTGGCTGCTGTTTAAAAAAGATAGTACAGCTAATTAATTGGAAATTTTCAGAGACGGATCCTAGATTAACTCCTTGTAGGATCAGCAAGCTTGGCACTTTCTTGGTTGTTAACAAAAAGTAGGAATTTGCTTAGAGTTTAGGAACATCCTCTCAACCTTTCATTCCCTGGGGAAGAACAAAGATAAGAGAATGTATCATATGCCTCCAACAATTAAAATTATTTTCCATCTGTTTGGAAAAGTGATTATTCTCCCTTTCAGGAAGTCCAGAAGAACAAGCCAATTCAAGCCAGTCTTGGATATTTCTTCATCTCAGTAAATGATTAACTTGTTTCAGGTCTAATTTCTGCAGAGTTTGATCAATGATTTCCAACACTGTTTTCTCCAACCTCAAAGAACCCTGAGCATTTACTCTTGAAAGAGTATTACTCTTGAATGTTTGTCTCTGAGAAGGTCAACTTTCCCAAGTCAAGAGGCAATCAAAGGGATGCCCAGGGTTGTAATCATTACCATGGAAATGTTGACATACCAAATTGTTTTTCAACTAAATCTCTGGATCATGAAACTGTGCTTACCCAGGTGGAAGATGTAATCTTTTAAGGAAACAAATAAGGGCACTCAAATGGTAGCTTTTGATTTTTAGCACGTATGATTTGTCCAATAATCCAGTAGCCTCTCAACTCATTGGCTTCATCAAGTTGCTTTGGGTATAATAGCAAACCACACCTCACCCTCCCACCTCTGTCCCAGCACAGTTGCAAGCAAGAGTGAGAAGTTTTTGCTTCAGCACTACAACTTGCCATGTTTTTCAGACCCAACAAACTGATTAGTCTTAAGCATTGCTTTTGAAGTAAGCCAACTTCAAACTGTATCTTAATAAGGTGACTTGATAGAGATTGGCAGTTACAGTTAACCACAGTTTAGAATTTGGATGTAAATTGTAGTTAATCTTTTTTGAAAAGGTGGAAACTTTTGATTTCATGACTCTGCAGAAAAAGAAAAGAATGCAGGAGATTTCCTGTAAATAAATCATTCCATCTTTGTGTAGTTTGGTCTGGACAGATATCAGTGATGGAATTTCCATGGGATGGATCCAAGGTTTTTCAAAAAAGGATTAAAGCTTCTTGGTGGGTTTGATTCCTCAACAGATACTGCTTTTTGCAGTTATCAAGCAGCTTTCATAGGAATTAGGTTATTTGAAAGAAAAGCTCACAGTGGCTGGGAAAATTCTTGGATTTGTCAACCCATCATTTCTATTGATGGCTCTAAACTGGATAAATCAGCAGTCTGGTTGGGAGAGACCAGCTTCCAGGATTCCTAGGTTCTGTTTATCAGTAGCCATTTTTAGGTCTAAGTAAAACTGAATGCATGATCTGTAGTCATACAGTAGATGTTGTTTTAGTATACCGGCCATCTTTCAAGGTATTGGCTTACAAAGAGTCATTGATTATTGGCTGTATCACATAAGCCACCATTTTGTCTCTGGTTCCAGCAGACCTCTATTGTCTAATGAATACACTAGATCCTTAGAAACAGAAGTCTGTCCTTCTCTAGTCACAAATAAAGCTGCTTTCAGCTATTATAACTTTGGTTATATTCATCACAAGAGTGGCCATGAGAAGGCCCACAGGATGAAGATGTCACACCAGCTTCTGGGGAGGCCTACGGCTGTCCATCACAGATAACCTTACATCATGATAACCTTGCATTCATCAAGACTTAGGGCCATCAAGAGGTCAATATATAGATGCATGTCAGACATTTATTTATTTATTAATTCATACATTCATTTATTCAATTTGTAGACTGCCCATCTCAAATGCATGACTCTGGGTGGCTAACAATGATTAAAAACACACACACACATGCAAAGAAATTTTGGACTCAAATACAAACCTTGATGCAGAGCATACTACAAATACAGATTCCATTTAAACCAGAACTATTCCTGTTGGGGATAGGAAAACATCTTGTTAGAATTACTCAATACATGATTACCGCAGCAAGACTTCTTTATGCACAATTTTGGAAAACCCAGACACTACCAACAATACAA